CTTTATGGTTTACAATGACCTTTCACATACTTGATGTCATCTGACCCTTAAGATCCTAAAACATAAATGTTGATGTCTATATTGTATAAGCCCCATTAGTGAGTGCCAGGAATTGTAAATAATTTTTCAAAGTCGCACAAGTCACTGGTAGGACTCACACACAGGTATTCCAACATTGATAAGGAGTCACTTCAAGATGCAGATGAACCAGTTGGCTAATTACTGTCAGAAATGATGGCTAATACTGGCTTTGAGAGATGGGGCGTGGTGGTGAGCACCTGTAATCCCAGCACTGGGGAGCTGAAAAACAAGAGGATCACTACGAGTCCAAGGTGCGCAGTGAGACCCTGTACCAATTACATTAAAAAAAAAAATGGCTTTGAGAAGACTATAGCACTCAGACTCAGATTCATTCTCCAGTCTTTGGATGTGCACTGCCAAGGGCTTCTGTCCTGCTGACCCAGCTAGATGCGCCCAACGCCATGCAGGAGACAAGAGTCACACAAAAGTTACTTTATAATCAAAGTAATGGTGCACAAAAGTTGACCCCCTTACACTCTAGAGTACAGAATCTCTATTGTTTCAACCAAGTAATTACTTGGGTACTTAAACAAACACAAGCCTCTATCAAGAGAGCTACCATGGCCTTGCCATAGTAGAGGAGTTGGATGAGGTTAGAGGTCAAGTTCTTTGATAATCACAACAGAACAGCCAGCAGATAGCCCTCAACAGGGACGCTAAATAGCTTCAAGAAAATGCAGATGGACATCTTTGTTCTCAGTCCTGCCAAAACTACACTGGAGACACCACACCCCAGGCTGCTGCCATACTCCTCTAGCTTGGCAAAATTATCTTCAACAGCCCAGCCCAGGAAAGAAACTGCTTGCGCCTCATGCATGACACTAGACCAACAGATACTCGACAGTTGGTAGGTTGGTGAAAACTCTGCTACAGAACTTGGGATAGACGAGCAGTTATAGTTGGTATTTCATCTCTTGGCAACAAAACGTTTCTGTTCTGAAGATGGGACACGTCATATCTGAGTTCCTCCAGAGGAGACAGAGAGGATCCATCCGTGCAGTATAACTGGTCTCTGTTTCAACTCCATCACCGCTGAGACATATGTAAAAGCCTAAGAGACGAATTCCTCCTAGATTGGTAGGAGGCCTGGAGTTAATGCTAGTGTTAAAATGAAGAAGTGTGGCCACATCCACCCTTACCTTGTGAATTTCTCGGTGCACGTGGATGGTACTATTTCCCACTTTGGTGTCTGTGTTGGTCTCGTTGTCATAGACGGCGGGTAAGCTTGCCAAGGCCACTGCTGGTGATGTTTTAGCAGCAGCTTCTTCGGCCTCCATCTATTAAACCAATGAAAATAATGGGCAAAACTATTGTCATTTGCAGAGGGGGGCAAGCAGGAAAAAGGAAGAGTCACCTCTCTCTCCCTCTTTATCATTACAAAGAGTGGTGATAAGGATTGAGAATCCATGAGGATTAGGCACTATACCAGATGTTTTACAGGTTCTATAACCCTAAAATCCTACATCCTCCCTAAGAGGTGAGTGTTACCATCTCTAGTTTACAAATGGGGAAACTGGGGTACAGGAAGCTAAAGGAATTCTCAAGAGTCCCAGTGAAAGGTATAGTTGGAACATGTTTTCATGAAATGGTCCTGCATCCACATAAACACTCTTGGTGCCTTGGCCATCACTGGGTGGCCCAGTCTGGAGGTCACCTGCCTTCAGTTGTCACGTAGGCCAACAACCAACTCTGTCTCTGGCCTCAAAAGTGGGCTCAGTCTGTGCAGACCATGAATGGGAGCAATGAGGGACAGGGATGGGGTAAATATCTCGGCTTTTTCTCCTGTGACAAGCAGAAATGACTGTCTTTGATGCCCCTCATTGAGGCATCAAATGCCCACAACAGTAACCTGCCCATGTTTTCTTTCTTCCCCCTTCCTCTTCCTGTTAGTGCTTTCTAGGATCCTCCCAAAGCCCCCGAATGTAGAGCCACAACTATGTCTCCTTCTACCCCATCTCTTAGGTACCCATATATGGTCCCCTGGCAGAGGGACCTCTGGGAGGTTAAGTGAACAAGTTCCTGGAATCCCTCTGGCTCTTCTTGGACATTTAGCTGTCCTTCCCTGGTGTCAGGCTTCGGAGGTCATGTCCTCAAATCCTCACGAGCTTCCATGATATCTGTGTCACATATAACAGTCACCACATATTTGTGCCCAACGTCCCCTTTTAGACTCTAGATTTATCATGCTCATCCTTAGCCTGGATGAGTGGACAGTTGACAATGTGATGGCTGACAGTTTTCCAACCCC